CTTGTTTAAGACTAGTTTTGACACTGTCAGCTATATCTGGTATTCTGGAATGTCATTCAACCTTTCAAGAATGTATTAAATAAGATATGCTAAACTGCTATAACAAATAGACACCAACATGTATGTCTCAAACATAACAGGATTTTATTCTCTACCCTGTGACTGACTTTTCCATCTTTACAGCCTCATCATCAACTGCATCTAGTCAGCAGAAGAAGAGAGAATTTCCAAGGAGAAAGTAATTACCAGATAGTGAAGAGTAAAATCCATGACTGCAAATTATAGAAGGAAAACATTGCTAAGTGCTAAGAAAGTTTCCTGTTTCTCACAGGGTTTTAATTATCCTCAAAACCCTGTGAGGTTAAGCTTTATCTCCAAGTGAGAAAGCTGAATTTCTGAAAGAGCAGTAATTTTCTTATGTTGACTGCTGCTAAGTGGCACATCCAGGGTTTAAGGCCAGATTTTAAACCCTAGTTCAGTTTACATTTATTTTAAATCAGTTGAGTAATCAATTAACTTTTTAATGTTTTATCTTTACTTGACCATCATGGATTATTTTACAGCATCTTTATAATTTGTTATGCTTTATTATTCTCAACATTGTATGGCAGACCAGAATATTAATAATGCAAGGGGCTAATAGGATGTATCCAAACCCATGGGACCTGTTGTCTCTTTTGCCCCTTGTTATGTCCTTCAGGATATTGCCTAGCATTTTCTCAAACACACTTTATGATTGAAGCTCATATGTCCTTCTGTCTCTTGTGAAGGTTGGCAGAGACATTGTTTATAGCAAAGCAGCACTACTTAGATTAAAATTCCCTCAAAATCATTGTGCTGTCTTCTGAAGATAACTTAATGGCATTAGTTGAAGTACTCTTTATATTTGAGATAATTTTATTCTTATATAGACACTGGATATTAAAAAATATAGTTCCCAATTTACCCACGTTTTTGGAATCATTGGAAGATCACACTTACCACAAATAAAAATGGAAAATAGTTAGGGAAAAGTCATAACTTTACAGACTGCCTCAGTATTAATTCTATCTCATAGCATTTCTCATTGAATAAGTGTCCTGAGCCTGTTAGTGTGGAATGATGTCTGTTAGTAGGTTCATGTGACTAGAGTTTCATTTGTAATTACCTCTTCAGTGAGAGCTAGGCCCTCATTTGGATGGTTAATTCTTCCATCATTCCTATTTAGCTGCCCTTCTCATTTTAAGAGTTTCTAATAAACATTCTTTTTTAAACATTGATTATTTTCAAATCATATATCTTATTCTTCTATTTCAGAGAACATCAGTGATACCTATTTCACAGATAAGATTACATCAAATTCATGTAGGCGCTGTCATGTGTATTAATGACTTGTACTTAGTTTTTTCTTTCTTGTTCTCTTTCATTTCACTTTGTGAAGTTGATATTTCTATTTTACAGATTAAAACAAAAACAGCAACCAACAAACTCAGGCTAAGAGCCAAAGGTAACTAAGTCATTCAGAGATGGGTCATTCTAGTACTCCCCAGTAATCCAGTGTTGGGAGTAGACAGTTGGTATGCATTGGCATGTTACGCTTTACCAGGTTCTCTACCTGTGGATCAAAAACATTTAAAAATAATTCCAGAAAGTTCAAAAAACGAAAACATGAATATGCTGCCCACAGGCAACTATTTACCTGGCATTTACATTTTATGTACAACTAATTCCATAGCATTTGCATCTTAGTAGGTATTATCAGTAATCTAGAGATGATTAAATCTAAGGAGGATGTACACAGACTGTATGCAAATAGTATACTGTTCTATATAAAGGACTTGATCATTGCAGATTTGGGTATCTTCCAGGGTCCTGAAACCAATCCCTTGAAATATCAAGGGACCTATGTACCATAACTGTTATTTCTCCCCATTGATTTTTAAGTGTTTCCATATGTTTATAACTATTGTTTCAGTGAGTAAATGCTACGTATGAGTAGCTGACAGGTAAACAGGATCACCTAACAGTTTATTATTTAAGACTTTAAGTAGAAAGGCATCACTGGCATTTAGTGATCTTCTATCAGTCCAGACTGATCTCCAGTTAATACTTGACAGTGTAGATCCTATATTGCTTCGTGGAGCATGGCAATTATTGTTTCTGCTTATCTTCTACAAAGTATCAGTGTAGGTCACTAGGAATTTTATATGACCATACATAATGGGTGTATAATACTGTTCTTATAACAGGCATCTGTTAGAATTTTTGTTTCTGTTTGATTAGAGTTGGACTATAAAGAAAGCTGAGTGCCGAAGAATTGATGCTTTTGAACTGTGGTGTTGGAGAAGACTCTTGAGAGTCCCTTGGACTGCAAGGAGATCCAACCAGTCCATCCTAAAGGAGATTAGTCCTGGGTGTTCACTGAAGGGACTGATGTTGAAGCTGAAACTCTAGCACTCTGGCACCTGATGTGGACAGCTGACTTATTTGAAAAGACCCTGATGCTGGGAAAGATAGAGGTCAGGCGAGAAGGGAACAACAGAGGATGAGATGGTTGGATGGCATCACTGACACAATGGACATGGGTTTGGGTGGACTCTGGGAGCTGGTGATGGACAGGGAGGCCTGGCGTGCTGTGGTTCACGGGGTAGCAAAGAGTTGGACACGACTGAGCGACTGAACTGAACTGAATATGCTATACGTTGTTGCTTCCCAGTTTACTTACAGCCAGAAGAATTTAACTTCTTTGGGTTATTTCACACTAATATTTCTACATTTAAGTTTTCAAACCAAAGCAGTCCTTTATGTCTGAGAATTTACAACTTACTGCTCTTATAAGGTAAAAAATAGTGAACCAAACTGAACCACCATTAGGCGCTGGTGGTTCAAGCCTGTTAGTTTTGAAACTCTCAAACCTCTTTCTTCTTTTTAATTTAATTTTATTGTATTTATTTATTTATTCACTTTTGGGCTAGGCCATTCCCAGACCAGGGATGGAACCTGGGCCCCCCGAGGGAATTCCCTCTCAGACCTCTTTCAATAGTTTCATTTTGGTACTGGACTCAGAGAAATCAGTTTTGCATTTGCAAAAGCTGTCAGGTTTTTGAAAATGAAATGATGTTTTAACTCTGAATAAAACAATTTTACTTATTGAACAGGTGTTTTTAGAATATCCCTGGGATATTCTTCAGATAGACATGTGTGCCTATGTGTGTCTGCCTTTAGTGAGTCCTCAATTGCATCAGTGATCCCTCAGATCCTCATTACCTTTCTCTTTGCAGGAAGAGCATGTCAGTGGACATGCTTATGTCCATCTGTGTCACTGTTGTGATGTCCTTCTTCCCAGCCAGCTTTGTCATGTTCCTAATCCAGGAGCACATCAGCAAAGTGAAGCACCTGCAGTTCATCACTGGAGTGAAGCCTGTCATCGACTGGTTCTCCAATTTTGTCTGGGACATGGTAAGGCCACTGGTCTGCTGCTGTGTCATAAACCTCCATCAGGGCTCTAGACTGGATGAATAAAGAGCCTCTAGCCTCCAGCAGAAGTGTTATAGCATCCAAAGACGAACAAAAGAAGAGGCAGACAGAACTGCAAACTTTCACGTCACCAAGCATGGCACTGAAAGCAGCTGATCTCACACCAGAGCAAGTATGTCCACATGGATGGCAGTTAATACAACTACCACCTCATTCCCTGAGAACCTTTCAAAGAAGCTGAGGTGGAAGACTCTCAGTTAAAACTCAAAGCTAATGCCTCTAATATGTTTGATGGATTTGAACCTCCAGAGTCAGGGTGTTCTTTGATTTACTAGGAAACTCATCTGTCCTCCAAATTCCTGAGGACCAGGTAACTGAGAGGTGATCGAGCTCCCTGTTTTTTCAGTTTCCCCATGGAGAGCTAATTCATAATTTACTATGTTGTTTTTACAATGTGTTAGAAACATTAAATAACATAGCTGTAAGTAAAGATTACCAGGAGAGCTTGGTAGTACCAAATCTAGTTTAAGAAGGCTGAGGCACTCAACTTAAAAACTGAAGTTGTTTGTAAGAAGATCTTGTATCATCTGTGATGGTACTGAAGAAATTCTTTCAAGGTTACTGGCAGGGTATTTACTTGAGGTGACTTAATATTTACAATAAAGATAGTATATTATTATTGTCTCATTACCTTATGGCAATACAACAACAGCTTCATAAATGAAGATAAAAATATAAAACATAATAAAAAGAGTCAGATTGTATATTTTATTGACTTTTATTAGGGCGAACATTTCCATAAGGATAAATATCTCACTTATATCTTTGTTAAAATATCTTTTATAAGATATTTATTAAATGTTTTTATTAAAAGTGATCCAAAATGAAGTAAAAATTAGTAAAACTGACTATAAATGAAGACACTACAGCATATAAACCAATGATTCATCAATGATGTTTAATAACAGGACCTAATAACATTTTTCAAGTAAGTAAGTAATGTGAAAAACATTAATACAGATGACACAGATAACATTGTACTCTTCCATAGTAAAGAAATATGTTTAATATTTTTATGAACCCCATTTGGTATTATAAAATAAACCTGACTGGACAAAAACTTTTAAAATCTCAGAAAAACAGACATGATGAAAAAGGTAATAATGTATAAAAATAATTTAAAGATATTATCATAGATATGGAAATGTAATAATCATTTGAATGTAAGAAAATGCTACAAAAGCAGAGGGTTATCAAAATAGAGAATGAGAGATATTCTCAAACAAATGAAAAATCAAGACCTGGTAATAAAGGCAAGTATTTTTAACATGACAGATACTAAAATGCCAAGGGGAAAATGAACAGACTGTTTCCTGAAGTGGTAGTGACAATGGACAGATGTAGCTTTTAAATATGCAAAGGACATAGCAAATTAACTTACCACCTCCTTCAAAATAAAGTGAGAATCTCTTGGGAGAATATAAGCACCAATAGCAGATACATCTTATGACAGTTCATGAAATGCTCTGTATATCACTGGAAAACTATTTCAATGGTGAAAATGATGTAGGAATCAGAAGCATATTCTGCTGAGACTCAAGGAAGTTAACACTTTCCCGAACTGGAAATAAATTTGTAAGAAGGCATAGAAAGTTATTGACTAAATTCGATTTGTTGTAAGAATAACTCATTCCTAGTGAAATAGCTTACCAGCTGCCACTACTCTGGGATCCTCATGAGACTGATGTCTCCCAGCTGCACGGCTGTCTGCACTTTCGTTCCACCAAAGAACATGAACTGCAGAAATAAACCAGAAATAGATGTTAAAGACTGTGGCATTACTACCAATAAGAGAAACATTAACCAGAAACTGAAAGTCCTATTCTTTCAATCAAAATAGTGAATATCACAGGTAATGCCAAGTATGTTGCTGATAAGATTTCAGAGGGGCCAGAGATTTGGGAGAGAAATTTATAATTAGTCAAACTAGTTTTGTAGATGAAGAAAGAAAAAGCTGGAAAAGAGAAGTAAAATAATGCAGCTAAAGACATAATCAAGCCAAGACCCAAATTGTATGATTTCCTAATACATGTTAACTTTATTTTAAAAAAGCAAGATTATAAAAAGTTGTGCTTACTATTGAATATTTGGGTGATGGAAAGGAAAAAAAGTAGGATATTAAGTGTCTAAGGAAAAATTCTATTAAGTGCATCTCCTTAAAAAAAAATGGGAGTAAAATCACATTAGGATCTTGCTGTATATTATGCTTAGTCTTAGTAACATATTTTTAAAAATCAACAATTTGTACTTCCTCTGGAAATAATTTTTAATGGCTATGGGAATTCCTTCTTGTAACAACATTTCATCCCAACCCCTTATTATTGGTCAATTAAATTATTTTCACTAATTCAATATTCTTTGAAATACTGGGATAATGTTCTTGTGCGTAAATTTTTATAATATATACTATATATATAGGAAAATGCAGAGAAAGAGAAAGTACCAGGCATTTCTATAAAACCCAGAAAAAACCGTTTTAATACTTGGCATAACTCTGTCCACAGTTACGCATATATATTTGTATTTACACACACGCTTCTCTGGTGGCTTTTTGATAAAGAACTGGCCTGCCAAGGAAGGAGATGCAGGTTCAATCCTTGGGCTGGGAACATCCCCTGGAGAAGGAAATGACAACCCACTCCAGTATTCTTGCCTGGAGAATCCCATGGACAGTGGAGCATGGTGGGCTACAGTCCATGGAGTTGCAAAGGAGTCAGACATGGCTTAGCGACTAAACAATAACAGCAATACATATAAACATGTGTAAGAATATATGTTTATAATTACATTATATATGACACATATTTATATATCTATTTATGTATCACATGTGTGTTACATAAAGAAGTTCATACCACATTGTTTCCAAAGTTTCCTTACCATAAACAATGCTGATATAAACTTGATTAGAGCAGCAGTACATGTACATCTATGATAAGAACATTTACCACTAACATTTGTTGGGTGCTTGCTGCAGTGCTGGGCCTGGTTTAAATTCTGCATGTGTTAACTCATTTAGTTTTCATAATAACCTTAGGTGCAGGTTATTATCACTTATGGATGAGAAAAATAAGTAAGGCACAATAAGGTTAAGTAACTCATTCAAGGTCATAGAGTTTTAATTGGTGGAGTTAGGATTCAAACCCAGGCAGTCTGGATCTGATTATTTTCTTAATATAAATTCCTAAAATTTAGACTGAGAGAAGCAAAGAGTATCTTATATACATATATACACACTTACAAAATACAGTGTATGTATTATACACTATCCTCAAGAAGTGAAGTACTGATTTAGACTCAGCATATTATATTATCATACTCCTAGTATACTGAGAATGAATTTAAGATGAAAAGATGTGTGTACATACATTTCAGTAGTTTTTTAAATAAAAAAGTCTACACATTCATTATAGTAAATTAGAGATTTAAAAAACCTTTAATCTGATCATTTAAGTATGACTATGTATTTTATGTCCTTTCAAATTTTCTTCTGGTAGAACTAAAAACATTCATGTTTCCTAGAATGTAGGCAAAAACAATTGAAATATTAAAGCTTTTTATTTATATTTATATTGCCAAATTATTGGAGGGGGGCAAACTTAAGCCTAACACAGTACAACAATATTTGTTTTTCCCTGGCCCCTCTAATACTGTATCTTTATAATACATTTTTATTAGGTAAAAAAATGACATCTCATTATTGTTTTACTCTGCGTCTTTTTTAATATATATTAGTCACCTGTGTCATCTTGGCATATGCTTTTCTTTTGGATTTCATATATATATACACACACATATATATATATAAACACACACACACACATACATATATATACACACATACACACACACATATAAATGCACAAAATTTGAGCCTTTGAATAATAAAATCAGTTGATTATTTTTTTTCCTTCATAGTTTCTTCACTTGTTTTTGGCTTACAAATGTTGTTTTCACATATTAATAAATTTATCTATATTTTGTTTCAGTAATTCTATGAATTCAGTTTTTAACTGAGATCTATAATCCATCTTGATTTTATTTTAGTGTATGGTATGAGATGGGCATTTAATAATTATCATAATTTTTCTCTTCTTCATGTATTTCTCAACTGGGACAAACATGTATTTTTGCACAGTTCAACTTTATTATTTCCTTTTTACAATATATTATCAGAATTTGAATTTCTGGGGAATGATTAACTCAGTTTTTGGATATGCTAGGTTTGAGATGTCCATTAGACATGAGGCAACTGGATATAATGGGTTTTCAAATATTAAAAGTCTTAATCATTTATTCTTACAGATAAACTTTATAAACATTTTCTGAGTTTGCCACAAAAAAACCCCATTCAAATTCTGATTGGAGTATCTTTCAACTTTAAAAGTTAAGTGTACCAAACAGATGTTTTTATTAAATAAATCAGTATGGTATATATACTATGTGTATCTAAGCAGTGAGAGATTGGTTAATTTATTTCTTTGTGTTTGTCCATGTTTTTAATATTATAATAACTGTATACTACTTTTCACCCCAAAACAATCTCCTTATGTCAAGTAATATTATTTTTTAAAAAATCACAAAAGATTCAAATAGTACAAGCTTTCATGTATAAAATAAATAAGTAAGACAATAAATTTTAAAAGTTTCCATTATAAGAAAAAAAAAATTTGTAACTATGTGAGGTGATGGATGTTAACTAAATTTATTGTGGTAATCATTTCACAATATATCCATACATCAGATCATTATGTTCTACACCTTAAACTTATACAAGGTTATATGTCAATTATATTGCAATAAAACTAGAAAAAAATAGTAAAAGTACATTAAAAAAATGATGAACAGGTGATTTCTTGAGATTCTTTCCAGTTTTTTAAAATTTTATCATTTTGATAGAGAAAAGAGCAGTTCAATATTTGAAAAAGGCTTCATAAGGTATTGATATTCTATATAAGATTGAAAACAGGTTTACTTAACTCTTAAAATTACAAAAAAACTAATAATTTGGCAATAAAAAGTAAAATACACTCAACAATGAGAACAGAAACAAACTGACCCAAGGAGCTTAACAGCAGATCAACAGTATACTTTGTAATTTCATAGAAGAGACGGACAACTGTACCTCTGTTGAGTACTCCATATTCTGCATGGAACACTCCAACTAATTTTGTGTAGCCTTGATTGACATGAGTATGAACTGCCCTTTTAAATGGGTCACCCCACAGAGCTGGCCCACCAGGTTTCATCTGAAAAGTAGCCAATTCATAGACTCCTAGAATAGGGAGAAAAATATTTTACAGAACACATTCAAGCAGTTTGTAGTCCTGTCTAGTTTGGTTCTGGTGAAAAGCTAATCTACATATATAGATTTGGAGGATCATACATGTACACATGTTTATGTAGACATTTGTTAATAATTTGCACTGTTTTTCTGTGCTTTTATGTTTAGAAAGTCTTTGTTCTAGTTTAAGGGTGAGTTGTTTTAGTTTAATGTACAGAACAAAGAAAAAGGGACTAGAAGATACAGTAAGTTATTATCTAAAATTTTTTAACCTATAAAATTTATTAATAAAATAGTGAGAATTTATAGCAGAATGGGACTTTTTAGCTGCCTGCATCTACACTTTCATAACAGAGATGAATAAGAGTATTTTCCCATTTCTTACAGCTCTACTCTTCAACTTTCACCACTTTTTTGCTTTATGTAATTGCTTCCTATAGGTTTGCATTTCTACCAGCAACAGCAGGCAAACAATGAACCTCAGAGTTTTTGAGGGAACATGAATCCTAAAGGAGATGCTTTTATTATTCCTAAATATCCAGGTAAATTCTTGAAAAGCATTTTACCTTTGGATAGAAGTATAGAGTGGATGGACAAAAAGAAACCACAGGACCAGTAGATTTGAGAAGTAGAGGAAAAACATGCAAGTTACTGAAGAATCATGAATGACACAGAGGAAGAGAACAAAGACTTGATATTATCTTTGAAGTCCAGTAGTTCATTTAGATGGTGTCAAAAGCTGAGGGGGATCTAGGCAGATAAGGATCTAAATAAGACTTTTCAATCTCTTATAATCTAAAATGCACTACAGAGTTGGGAATAATGGGGGGAATAAAATACCATTTCAATTAGTTTATGCTTTTTCTAATCTGACCTTTGGTTAAAACTGGATTGAGGTAATAATTTCTTTAAGTCAGCAAGAAGTGAAATCAGGAAGAAGACAAATCTTTAGGAATTATTTTCAAACTGAGAAATAAGAAAGAGGAAGACACAAACGTTAGACTACAGTAATATAGCTTGGCAGTTGCAGTTAATTCATTCCCCCCAAACAGTCAATTTTATAAGCAAATTTATACTTAATGATTTGAGATTGATAGTGACTTATGGAAAATACTTTTAAAAGTTTATGTTTTTTTAAATTATGATAAAATATCATACATTTTCCCTCATTTACCCACATGTGTTCCTTGTTCCCAAGGCCCAAATTCTCAACCTTTAGTGACCACGTCAACTTTTTCTATAATACAGCTAAATTTTAAGCATCAGAACAATACTAATTTGGAAAGATACTTCATTATTATTTAATGCTCATTTTTAAAATTAAGAGCTCCAATTTATTTTTATCTCAACAATCAACATATATTCCTATATTAAGCAAAAGATTAACTTCATTTTCCCCACTAGAAGTTTAGTTTTTATAGTTTAAAATCTTAAGTAGTTTCTCCATCAAAGCTCAAAGTGGGTAAGACAGAAGGACTTACCTTCTTTTGGAGGTTTTACTAATTTGCACCATGGCACCAGATAAGTGATTTCACTCTCCTGTTTATCAATAAGAGCCAAATTTGGAATGAGAAATTGTTCTTGCCATTCCTTATCTTTGGCCAAGGCTTTGTGAACTTCAGTTCGATGAGCAAAATTGTCTATAGGAAGGAGTAAGAAAAATAAAAATGCTTGATTTAAAACCACCTCTACTTTCTCTGGGTTTCATTCAATTTTATAAACATTCATCGAGGCCACATAAGAACTATGCTATATTACTGGAAATACCAACACTGTTCCCAATTGTCCATGGTCTTAAACAGGAGCAGCAATGTAATCAATTAATGATGTCATACAGTAGTGAGCTTTATATGCTCTAGCACTTAATAGGTAGTTGTGAGAGTTAGGTAAGTTATTGAGTCTTTCTGTGTCTATTTAACTCCAGGGCTGACGTGAGGATTAAATAAATTAGTACGTGAAATGAGCTCAGCACAGCACACTGTTTGATACCTAGTGAGTACTCAATATATGTTAACTATACTTACTAATTTTATTGAGGCATTTAAATTATAGTGCCAGTTTAGAAAAACACTTTTTATTTGTTAGTGATGATGGTGAAGAGTGGTCAGGTCAAAGTACAATTGAATTAAATTTAACATGAAGTTAAATTAACATGAAATGAAGTTAAGATTTGCTTTTAGGCCTCTCTGAACAAACAACTTCTAAAGAAATAGTGCTCCTTCTCTTGTCACCCATTCTTTTTAACCCATTACTATTTCTCCTGTTTGTTACCCATGTTACTAACATATGGGCCTAGTACTACTATATTTAGTAATAGGACCTTTTAAGACTAATGGTAAGAGTTTTCTATGGTTTATGCTGTGTAAATAAGGAATAACAGTTATCTTAGAGCTAATGTAAGTTATATCAGGACGTTACTAGTAATTTTCTTAGTGGAACATGATTCAGCTGGTGGTGCATAAAGGCATAAGTTGTGTTTTAATGGGGTTTGTTCTATTACAACAGGGAGAGCCCCTAAACTATGGCCATGCTAAATACAGAATGAGTAAGAGTGCATGCTCAGTCATGTCCGACTCTTTGTTACTCCATGGACTGTAGCCCATCAGGCTCTTCTGTCCATGGAATTCTCCAGGCAAGAATACTGGAGTGGGTTGGCATTTCCTACTCCAGGGGATCTTCCTGACCCAAGGATGGAACTCAATTCTCTTGTATCTCCTGCACTGGCAGGTGAATTCTTTACCACTGCACCACCTGGGAAGCCCTTTACATAAAGAACCTCTTTATGACTATTTGGACACTGATGACCAGACAGTAAATCAAATTATTAAGTCGTGTCTGACTCCTATGACCCCATGGACTGTAGCCCATAGGGTTTCCCAGGCAAGAATTCTGGAGTGGGTTGCCATTTCCTTCTCCAAAAATTATTTAGGTATCATTAAGTCCTTATGTGACATCACAAAGATCTGATACTGCAGTAATAAATATTCTGGGGATTCCTGTAATCGTTCTCCTTTTTCTAAACCCGTGGTTGGTCAGCTTCAGTATCAGAAGAATGAACTCAGCCCCTTTTCTTTTACCTCCATAGACTAGTATGACAGTGAATTTCTGGAAACTCTGGGGGCACAAAAAAATCAAAAGTGGCCCTGAAAACAACAGAATTATTGAATCTTACAGGTGGATGAGTGGTTTGAAGTTAACTATCATCCCCTGAAAGTGAAAGTCACTCAGTTGTGTCCAACTCTTTGTGACCCCATAGACCACAGAGTCCATGGAATTCTCCAGGCCAGAATACTGGAGTGGGTAGCTGTTCCCTTCTCCATGGGATCTTCCCAACCCAGGGATCGAACCCAGTTCTCCTGCATTGTGGGTGGATTCTTTACCAGCCAAGCCACCAGGGAAGCCCAAGAATCCTGGAGTGGGTAGCCTGTCCCTTCTCCAGCGGATCTTCTGGATCCAGGAATCCCCTATCAACTTCTGTTTCCCTAAAGTCCCCTAAATGTTTGAATGATTTTGGCTAAAACATTAATATCCAGATGTAGCTTCAATATATAGAGACAAATAATTCTTTTCTTTATGACCCTAACCCACTTGGGTTCTTGCAATCACTGCTTTAAACTTTTCATAAAAAATCTTTACAATAAGCCGCTCTAAACTTTTTTTTTTAGAATTAAAGTTTAGTTTACAATATAAAGGTTCCAGTGATGGGCTGTTAGTTGTACTGTTGGGAAGAATAATCACTGAATTTATTTTTGGTATTGCTTTTTAAAAGTGTTACTTAACCTGTATGTTATTAAAAGTAACATAGATCCAAGAACTAAGTCTCATGTAATATCTAACAGAATGGACATCTGTACTGAATGCTTAAGCTATTGACTCATACCATACTTCCAGATATGAAACACTTTATTCATTCTGCCTCCAAATTCTACACTCCAGTATCCAACCAATTCAGAGTGAGCTGTCCGAAGATGAATGTTTTTCTTAACATTTTCCAGGAATTCATTCATCTTTGAGGGCTTAAGATAATAGGTACGGAATTCATAGAATGTTCCATCATATTGTCTGGGGCCTGTAGCAAAAGATGAACACACCTGAAGAAAGATAAGGAAAATTTAAATATTCTGGGAAAGACGGGTTTATAATATTATGTTACAACCAAATCTGAGTCTGGAAACAAGGGACACACATTAGATTTATAATCTGTTTGGACTTCTGTTGTCTTCTCTCCATAAAATTTTAGAGATATGTCAATAAAGATGCCCACTTTGAAACATTCTATAGCTACTGTTTCCTAGGAAGGCGTACACCATTAGTCACTTTTTCATGAGAAGTTGCTCACAGGAAAGCACTGGGGCGCTTTCTTTACAAAAGGACTAGAATTAGGATCCTAATAGTCTTTACAAATAGTTTATTACCTCTTATTTAACCAATATCCCACCTTTATTGAATAGTATATATGCTAGAGTTAAAACATTTAAAACAATTTCTAAATATACAGGTATTTTGGCTAGCACAATGAAAATGTGTTTACTGGCAAAAATTCATTTTTTTAAGGTTCCTAAAACAATGGAAATTCCTGGTCAAATCAAAGTATTTTTTAAATCCAATGAAGCACACAACTGGTCAAAAACAGGACAGGAGTTTAACTAATGTAATAGGAAACTATGACCTAGCCAGTTGTATTGTAATACGTTGATATCCTGTGTAAACCCTAGAAAAAGAAAAAAAAAATCAGTGTCAGAATTGTCTGAATAGTTACTAGGTTTTAATTACAGATGCAATCTGCAGAAGGGTATTTAATCCACCCAATTATAGTAGGTTGATGTAAATATCAGTTAAGAACCATTAGTTACTTCTGTAATAGTCATATGCTCGCAATGTAAATTTCTAATTTGGTTCTCTGAGTGAACTTAACTTTCAGTAGGAAATGCTTTGTGTATTGTATGTGTTTGTGTGTATACATAGGTATATACAAATACATACTATATATATATACACACACACACACACAAATATACACACACACACATATAGTATTCTAGTTTACATATCCGTCCTATTTAAGTTTTGTTAGCATGTGCACATTTCCTGAAGTTGATTATACCAGAATTATCTATTAAAATAGTTTAGGTACTTATAAAGATATTGATGAATTTTGGCCATATTTTGACTACCTGATATGTCAAAGAAAGCAGTACACTTCATGCTGTGACATATATTTTGTTCACCGAACACAGTAATACATATATTTTACTTAACTGTGTATAAGCCTTAATTACAATCTCTTTTGAGGTCATTCCAAGTCTATGATGAGTCATATTCTTATTGCCCAATTGACTACACTTGCCATCAAAAATAAGTGCAGCTGCCCCTGCATTTGGCAGATGTTCTTTTGGTGCCATTTTACCAAACTTTACTAACACAATATTAAGCAAATAAAAGCTGCCTACTACTTATAGTTTAAAAATATTATAAATAAAATATATCAGATATCAGAAAATGGGTCAATGGAGTAGTAACAACTTTTCAGGGAATTCATATTTGGAGATCAAAATATGTGATTAACGGCACACATTTTATTATCACTGGCAGAAGAAATATACAATAGGAAAGCTCAGGGAAAGGTTAACAGCAAGGGGTATGTGGTTTGTGAGAAGTCATGAAGTGATTTTTGTTGATGAGTGCTTCCTTTTCTCTAAATTAGGGCTCATTTTCCTTAGTAGTGACTTCCAATTCATGTATAAGATAACATCTGGTTGACATTTAATAACGTCAAAGTACAGAATAAAATTCTAAGGAATAATTCTTGATCCTGCCCCAGTAGAGAGAATCAGGATAAAGGTTGTAATGCTATCTAGAGTGAAGGAGCCATCAATGGTTTCTCTTTAGTCTCCAACAGAAAGTCAGTTTGAGAAGGAAGCAAAAGCTTGAACATCAAAAGGAAAAATCTCTAGGTTAGATTCACAGAATAGGCCAATCCCTGACAGTTAAAGCTGAATCACAATAATCTGTTTTGTACATTTCTCATCCAGATTAAATGAAGTTGTCATCATCATATTTGCTACCAGTTTCCTGACAGTGGCTGACTCGGGCACCAACCTCAGGGGACTGTGACAGCGGCGCAGATGCTCCACCACCCGAACCCTGGGCCCTCTCTTTTAAGGTTCTCTGCCTGCAAAATGCTGGGAGGTTGTGTATTTCATTTAAAAGGCGGAGAATTGTTCTGTTGCTCCTTCAGTCTGGAGGGGCTTGTCAAAACATACTAAGATAGGCTGGACCAGCGCCTAGTACAGGCCCCAATGCGGCAACAGCAACCTCGCGGGTCCGCAAAGACGCAGCAGCTGGCGCTTCAGGCGTGTCCTCACGACCAGCAGGCACCCAGGCTAGGCGACCCTGGCAGTGGGTCTTCTCCTAAAGGCACCCTTCCTCCCTCCTTCCGCGCGTCCCAGGGACCCCCGCCTCCGGATTCCGAGACTTGCTAGAACTTCTCGGGCAGCACCGCGCGGGCCGGTCTGGGCCCACTGACGCATGCGCGGCCCGCGCTCTACCCCCGCAGACGCCCCCGGCCCCTGCTCTCCTCCCCCAGGAAACGTTTTGGGCGCGTCCCGGCGGCCGGTACCTGAGGCGCCATCGTTGGAGCGGCCAGGGCCCTAGTCAGGCTCCTTCGGAAGGCAAGCATGGTGCGGCTTCGAGCGCTGAGAAGGGCAGCGGCCGACACTCTTCCTTAAATTCCTCCTCTGGTGTCGTCCTGACTGGCAGGGAGCAGCGCCTGCACTACTGCGGGAGGCCGGCTCTGGGCGGGTCGGCTCCTCCTCCTGAGGGGGAAGGGCGTGGGGCTGGCCGCGCCGTCAGCCGGGCCACCTCCGCACGCCGAGCTTCGGAAGCGTTTGGTGTCAGCCCTGACCCTCTCCGTTTGTTCTCTAAAATGTTCTTTTCCTCAGCGTCAGAAGTGATATTAGAATTAGCAGAATGTTGACTTCCTCGTTCCTATACCACCTGTCTGGGCCCATCACCTCGTCTCCTTGCGCACTTGCGTACAGTTAATTGGTAAAAGCGCGCGTGTGGAACGCGAGTGTGTGACCAGGGAGCCATCACTTCTCTCAGTGCATTTCCCTTCCCCGTCCCTACTCACAGCGTGAAGCTCTAAGGCTCCAAATAATTTACATTGTATTTTTCACGAGCTCAGAGGAATGGGGGTACCGAGCTAGATACGAACAATTCAAAGATAAACATACGTTGTCAGAATTTTGTAACCCTTAAACAAAACCTCTGGTCTAGTCTTCCCTATCCCTGATTACTGCTCATCAGAATAACTACCTTCTAACATTTCGAGCTGTTTCTTCTAACGCCTGTTTCTGTATTTTAAAATAACACGCATATTCTGCTATTTTTTTCCCCCTTTCTTTTCTGTTTAGATAGCATCTTTTGACTCTCTATGGAGGAAGAGAATTTATGTCTCTAGTATAGCACTCCCCCCAACTAATTTCCCTTTCTGCATCTAATAGTGTTTCCGCTAAAAAAAAAAAAAAATCAATTGATTACATCACTAATTTACATTATTTACATCATATATGTTGATGTTATTCTTGCTAATAGTTGCATTATTGCAAACATTAATGTAATATTTCTTGTATTATCAGCACTAGGGGGGTTAGTTGTGCCTTGTGGAATGACTTGAATCATTCCTTCAGAGGAAAGGATTATTTTACAAAACAAAGCATTATCTGTGCCCAGACTGGATCTTTATGTTTAAATTAATTTTCTTAGACCTCCCTCCCCTATGCTGGAATTTGTAATTCATTTCCTCATTCAAGCTGTATGCTGGAATTTGTAATTCATTTCCTCATTCAAGCTGTATTAATTAAAGTTCCTCTATGCTGACTGAAGCACTTTTCCAGAAACTGGGGTTCACAGGTGAACAAAACACAATGTCTGTGTGTCCTTGGAACTTCCAGGTTAGGGGAGGCAGACAAATGAAGGAAAAATATATCAGGGATTAAAACAAGGAAAAACAGTAGAATCGGGAGAATAGAGAGTGCTGGAGGGAGGTAGCAGAGACTGCTGGCTATTTCCCAATAGTCATTCTTCTCCCAAACCCCCTTAAAAAAATACCAATAGAACCCAGGCAGCTTGGTGCAGCCATGTGGCTAAGTCCTAGCCAGTGGGATATTTTAGCACATTTATGACCTACTGTAAGCTATCTTAAAATAATGTAGGAGGGATTGTTTCACTCTTTGTCTTTTTCTTATTTCTTCTTGCTGGAATGTGGAAGTAATGAGTTCTTGGACTTTGAGGTAGAAGCCAGGTGCTGGAGATGGCAGAACAACAAAAGAAGCAGCCTAGGTTCTGACACCATGGGATACCAGGAGTCTTGGCCTGCCTGTTTCTGGACTTATTTTAGGAGAGAATTCATCTTCTAGTTTAAGCCACTGCTGTGTGGCATATACCTGTGATCTTAATCACGGAAGGGTGACTGTTTTTTTTATTTCTTTTTAATTTGTTTCCCTTTACCTTTTATTTATTAATCACCAAATTCTTTGCCCAAACTCAAAATTGTTGAAACTGTTAATCATCTTTTCAACTTCCTCTTCTAGAGTTATCTTTAAGGAGTCTTTTGGTCTCTTGATCCAGTGTGGATTAAATGTTCTCTAAAGTGGCCCTGTAGTAATTCTTGGATCTCCTTTCACTCATCTCCTAGGAAATCTCATTTGCCTTCGAGAGGATATCCTTTTTCCAGGATCTTTTATCTTTTTTTTCTTTTCTGCCTAACTTTAGGAGAGGGTATATGGGAATTAAACTTTTGAGGCTTTCAGGTCTAAAAATTTGTCAACTTCCTTAATTTATAGTTTGGGTGGATATGAACTTCCACACTGGAAATAATTTTTCCTTTTTTTCAAGGTACTGCTCTATTGTGTTATAGCTTTTGGTGAGATGTTTGTGCCATTTTAATTCTTGATCCTTTGATGTGACTTATCTGGAAGCTTTTATATTCTTCTCCTCTCTAAATTTCTGAAATTTCACAGTGATAATACTTGGGATAGATCTTTTTTCATCCATTATGTCTCATTCAGTTGACCAGCTGTCTTGCTGATCCTGTTTGTGATGCTGATTGTCTTACTGTATTTCCCTGTGCACATTGCTCACTGAACCCATGGTAGGCAAGGCATGAGCTAGGAGGCTGGCAGAAAATGTGAGGAGCTGTAGGAACTGCAGATGGGTTTATTCTCTCCTGACTGGCATAGCAGCCTTAGCCGCAGACATAACATAACACAACATAACCACACACAACCTTTAGGGCTTCTCCAGGTGAAGCTTATGCAGTGTGCTGCACAAAGTAGCCCATGATCAAGTGAATGATGTGCATGTGCAGTGCCATAAATGATCTCAGCTGTTACGTAAAGCTCATGACTGCATGTGTAGTGCTATAAGTGATCTCAACTGTTCCATAGTCATTGTTTACAAAACCTGGGGTGAGAGAGCCTAACCACAACACCTTGGCTAATTTGCTTTCTCCCAACACTACCCCTCTCCCCCCTTCAAAATCTGGAAACTCTTAAATTATGAGAAATTTGTTGTGTTTCTTGGGTTTTTTTCTTCCTCCTCTATCTCTGGAACTTTTGTTATTCAAACATCATGCCTCCACTTGATCCTCTAATTTTCTCTATTCTTACTAATTTTTAAATCTTTTTTTTGCTTTTTTTTTGGGGAGAAGGGTCATGAAATGTTCCACATTTATTTTGTAACTCACCTAATAAACTTTAAAATGTCTGATTTAAATGTTCAGTTTATTTCCAAAAGCTCTTTTTAACCTCTTTTTTTCCAAGAATGTTTTTCCCCTCTACTGTCTTCAGAAGTATTATCATCTTTTTGTTTCATTGGTTTAATATTTCTGTTTCTCTGGGGGCTTAAAAATTGTTTCAAGTCTTCATTTGAGTTTTATTTTGTTTTATATATATTTTATTATTTTTCCTCTCTCTGGTACTGAAGTTTTTCCTGAAATGTTTTTATATTTATCTGTCAACTCATTTTTTAAAGTGGGACTATAGAAAATTTGAAAGCTCTGTGAGTATGGTGGGTCTTGCCAAGTCATGAGCTTTACTGTAGGGTGATCTGACTGGGTAGTTTCCTTCATTAGATATTGATTACCCCAGCTGTTATTACCTATAAGTTGTTTCTTGTCAGCTTTCTCTGCAAGGAAACTTCTGGTGTCCTACCTGTGAAGTCTAATCTTTGTTGTCAAGTTTTTCAGGCTAAAAAGAGAAGAAGCCAGAGGTCTTGATATTTGGCAGTATCTTTAGAGAAAGAAATGGCAATCCACTCCAGTATTCTTTGCCTGGAGAATTCCATGGACAGAAGACACTACAGTCCATGGGGTCGCAAATAGTCAGACATGATGAAGCGACTATCACTCATTTACACTTCAAGAACATATACTATATATACACATATATATATTAGGCTAATGTATACCATATAGGCTAATATATGTGCCATATATATATGTATGTATGTATGTGTAAATATACATACATTATATACAGATAAATAGTTTAGGCTGTAATACATATTATATATATATATTATAACATATATAATCTAGGCTAATTTGCTGTTACAAATTGACACCAAAAGTGTATTGTGACTCAAACACTAACGAATTTTGTTTTTTTAAATGAGCAAACAGTGCGTTTACTTAGATGGCAGGCAGCTCTTCTATACCTAAAGACCAGGAGTCTTCAATGCTGTGGCTTGACCATCCCCTAGAGGCTCATCATTAACTGCATCCAACCAAGAGCAAGATAGAGGAAATCTCCAAGAATATTTCCAAGAGGGAAATGCTTACAAGATAGGAGTAAAATTTATGGCTACAACTTAGAATTAGATAAACATTGTTAAATACTTTTAGGGGCCTAAGACAGTCTCCTGTTTAGTTTCTCACAGATTTTAATTATCCTCAAAGTGCTATAGTTAAACTTTACCTAAATGGTGAGATTTTGAGAGAGAAATAATTTCTTCAGGTTCATTGCTGCTAAGTGCTAAGTGGCCCAGCCAGTACCACTTTTAATTATTGCTCATCTGGTTCAGTGAGTGTGAAAGTGCATTTTTTACACTGTACATAACAAATAGTTATCAGTTAAAGGGTGGAGGAAATATGAGGTGGGTAAAGGCAACAGTCCACTTGATGATGTCTCTACATGGTTTTGTCCAAAGGTCAGGGTCATCACATCTGCAAAAGGAAGTGGGAGAGGTGGATTCAACACTAGCCCAGCTGCATAGGAGGGCAGTAGCTTTACATGTAAATTCCAGATACTCCAACTCTGGTGATGTCCCTGGTAAGTACTTTCTTTGTGCTGTGTTCTGTGGTCACTAGGTGGTGGTATAAACTGGTTTCTTTCTTTAGGCCTTGCATAGTGTGAGCTATTTTTGTTACTTTTGAGTTCCTGTAACTTAACTTACAGGTATTTAGAGTGGAGTTCTCTCAGTTCTTCTTTTTTTGTCATATGATATTATGTACTGAAGAGGACACCTGCAGTAATGATGAATTACTTTAAAAACTTTTATGAGTTGCTTTATTATAAATATAAATAAATGGTAATAAAGTAACAAATTTTCATTCAGTGTTTGTTAGCAAATATGCTGCTCATATGGGTGAATATGTATTAAGCACTTGTTGTGTGT